AAATGAAGCTCCCATTATCACAAAAAGAAAACAAGGATGTCATTATCCTTCAACATTTCCCCCAATGTACAAATCTTTCCAGAAATGTAGACCTGAATGAACAAAATGTACCTGTGTCAAAAGTTCTGTAATGAAAGAAGTGATTTTCAGTTTGATACATATACATACAGAACTTTACAGTTTTAAAAATTGTAGGTGTTTTTGTATACCTTAGGTATTCACTATTCAATAAGCTCAGAATAAGTTATTTGAAAGAAATATATTCTCTGAGCATAACTTACTATATTGATTAAATAACTTTATAAATTCATTTATTTGTTTGACTACTTACTCATGGAACTAGAAAGATTAAGCACCGTGAGGTAAGTGACTGGACACAATTAGATCTATAAATAATGAACACTGCTGCTGCTTATATTCATTGCAGTTCTCAGAGGTTCAAAACCTTTCTTGAAAACCAGTATTTCTTTCTGCAACCATTACTGAACCCAAGGTTTGTGTTATAATTTTATTTCTTTTGTTAAAAAGAAGAAACTGAATGCCTTTAGGAGAAAATACTATTATTATTCAAAAGATGGAAAAGGATGAGTTCTGCTCCCTGGAATGACCAGTGTCCTCAAAGGATTATACCCTCAATGTTTCTTTTAAAGCACAAAAATTTCAGTCTGTCTCTGGACTTATTGACAAATTTTGTTAACAAATATTCTGTTGCTAGACTATCAAAAAATGTACTTCAAAATAAACTTTTAAAAAGCTAAAAATTTTTACCCATTTTCATGGTGTAAGGATCATAATATAAGCTTGGGGAAAAAAAACTGTAAAGGGGGAGGAAGACTTCAATCCCCTAAAGTACTAGCTTAGACATAAACTTTCCAAAAACAGATTATCTATTTCTGAAAAAAAAGAAAAATTATTTAAAATGTCTGTATCCTACATCTGAGCACAGTTTAATGGAAAGATAAAATATTGAAAGCAAATTAATTGGTTAAAACACAGCTATAAACATACTGCATGCAGTCATCACACATTATATGCTGACTGGCTTTGTATTACCTCAAAATAGAACCATAACCTCCTTGTACAAACAATGAAGTTCTCAAGACACAGGAAAAATCTGATTCAAATTTCACTCTAGAGTTAGCAATCACTTAAGGCATTAAACCTAAAGAAAACTAAAATGCTAAATCAGAAACTAATACACACTATTTGTCACAAAAGCTATATAAATAAGGTTCTGTACACTTAACATATTCTCTAACTACAGTACCCTAATGCAAGTGTTTTTACATCTTTTTGAACTTACATGTCATCTTGATACCAAAAAAAAAAGAAAACCATGAGGATTTGCATTTGCTACGTAGAATCCTGCACAGTAACACTATGAGGGTTTTTTTTTTAATCTATATTTAAATCCATGAGTTCTGCTCTATGAGGTTTGAGAAAAAAAACTTTATTATGTTTTCTTTGGGTTACTACTAATGGCTTTAGCTTAAAGATCATTAATTTTAGCACTAACATTTGGCTATAGTCTCACTTGACTTGTTCTATTTATCTCAAAGGTAGACTTCATGTATTACCATCACAAAAATAACTATTTGCATAACACTTTATGATTTTACATCTATTACAAACACATCACAGGGAGCCTGAGGACGCATTCAGCAGCTTGTCATTCACCCCTTCAAGACCCTTCAGAACCAAACAAGGGGGAGGGTGACAGTTTGCTAATAGCAGAAGTACAGAAATGAATATAAATAACAAACCTTGAAGTTTTCATAATACAAAAGAAAGAAAAATACAAACAAGAAAGATTATAATCTATTAGCATAAACAAAACTTTCAATTTGTTAAACTCCATGTCTTCTTTATAGAGCAAGATGTTTTCAAGTTTATGCACCTTCTGTTATGGTAACCATTTAAATTATCTAGGACTAGTACAAATAAAGGAAATCACTACCTTTTGCTGAGATTTATAAATTTGTGTCTGGATAATATTACAACTGCTTCTATTTATAGCATTTAGTTTTTCCTCAGCTTTGAAAGTAATCTGAGTATCAGTTCTCTATTAGTCTAGCTGTAGTTCTGTAAATAAATATATATATATATATACACACACATATATTTAAGACAAAGTGATATAATGTACATAGAGACTCCATTGTTTCATAATTTCTTCTTGGCAAAATAATTAGAAAACTTAAGAGTTTTAAAATTTTCTCCCATAATCATCATGCCAGACAAAAATGCATAGTACACTGAATGTTCAGTTATAACACCTCTAATCCAAAAGTCCACAGTCCTTGAAGCTTTCTGTAAATAATATTCCTCTATATGAAAGACATATCCCTTGAACCACTATCTACTTGATTTAGTATTTTAAAATATAGTTTCAAAGCCAAGGATAATACCACCATATTAAACACACACACACACACACACACACACACACACACACACACACACACACTCTCTCTCTCTCTGAACTGTGCAAAAAGGAAAGGTGGAGAGCAGAGGAAGACATGGAGCACGTTGTTTTTCATTCATGCAGTATAGTGATGTCAGTGTCTGCAGCGGCAGTGGCAGCCTTGACCAGTGGAGGCTGAAATCCACCAAAGTCAGAACCTTGCAGAATGCAAGAGAAACTGAGTAATCACTTGAAAATTTCAACCAACTCACAGTATGCTTTTAAATGGCTAAGTAGACAAAACAGATTGGTTGGGTAGTTTTAATAGAGGCAAGATGGAGAGAAGGAACATAAGAGTAATACAATCAGGGAACTGAGGGGTACAGAGGTGGCATTGAAAATCACTTCAATGGAAGAAACTGACAAAACCACCTGGTGTTTAAAAAAAAAAAAGAAAAAACATCACTAGCAAAGAAAGCCTTTCAATTCCCAACACTAGCTCTCTGACACTGCAAATCTGTCTCCTGCACAACAAGACTCAGAAAAGTGTTTTCATCATGACTGCATTAAAATTGCATTAAACTCGATGTGCCATGCTACAACAAAGAGGAGAGCTTAAGCCTGATCACAAATTTCATTAAAACTACTTGATGATGGGGCATGTAATTCCTAAGCAATTAGGGCTTTTGAAGGATGCAGAAAAACAAGCTGTACTATTATCTTTTGTCAGATGTTGATGTTTATCAACAAAAAGAAAGAGGTACTAGTTGGTCATTATATTGTTGCAGCAATTGCTAAAACTTCTCTGACTCCGCTAACAAAACCGTCTGTACATAATCAGCAGTGCTTATTTTATGCTTCTTATATTACTCTCTAAAAGAAAATCCCCAAAACTCAATTTATGCATTGTTAAAGCTAAATCACTCAAAATTTTATGTAACTGCTGCCCTCTTTCTGTTACCTCTCATTTAATATAGCTCTTGAAAATGTGTAAGGAGTTGCATATGGCATTGATCTGTTAGAAAATGGTGGCCTTTTCTATAAAATACAGCCAAAGATGTGTGTTCAGTTGTGGTCATTATTAGGGCGATCACGTTGTTTTCCTTCATTCATTCAGGATTTGCTGGAGGATGTCAGTTTCTGCAGCAGCTGGCCTGACCTGGGGGAAGAGGGGGGAGCAAATTCCTCCCGGTGCATACAGATTACAGGATGTATTTCTTGGTGCTCGTGCACTTATCCCACTGCACTACATCCTACCCTGGGGTTCACCATGAAGTGTTCTGAAAACAAATGCCTGGGAACACGCTAATTACAGGCCTGAAATATTAAAACTAAAACCACTAAAACTGTGATCATTGTAATGCAAACACTTTCGCCAACTCTAACACCTTCTTCAAGAAACCCCCATTTAAAAAAATTCCACATACCACATAAACACAATACAGAGCTTGACAGTGTTTCCCTTCCAAGCAGAGATTTTTTTCCCCACTCCTTCCTATGACCCCTTCCTTCCACAATGCAGCAGCAGCAGCAGCAGCAGCAGCAGCAACTGTAGCTCTATGCTGATATCTAATAATATTGGGTGCACTACTCTCCCTTATGGGCTTAAGTTCCTGTTTGGCTAATCTTTTTCTCCCCCAGGACTCAACTAGATCATGCACTGTGTCGCTAGACATAAACAAAACCAAAGGAAAACAAAAAACATTTAAGAGAAGTACACACCATCCACCAACTCACTATTACCTTTGACATCTAACAACAACAACAACAACAAAAAGAAACTTGAGATCTTTACACAGCTCATCTGAACTGTGAAGTGCACTTTAAAATGGAAGGAAAAAGTGAACTCCCTCCACAAATAGGTTTGTTGTTGGTTTTTTTTTATTTCCTTTTAGAAATCCTTCATGAAAAGCATGATTTGGGCATAAAACCGTTTGTAGTGCAGTAGGGCTCTGATACATGGCTATAAAAAGTAGAGGCTGGGGAAGGAAGGGGGGGGGAATGAGGAAAGAAAGACAAACCTACACGCTTCCACTGGACACTCACGGTGTCCCTACTACCCATCCCAAGGAAAGCCTTACAAAATGACTACCGCCCCCAAGCCCTCCCGGAGTGAAAACCCAACACCGAGCCCGGCACGGCAGGAACTTTGCAGGGCAGCACAAAGGCTGCAGGGATTCCGACCACCACCTCGTCGGCCGCTGCAGAGTTTGCGTGCGAGTTGACGGGCTTCGCCCAGCTCCTTCCCCCGGCTACCAACGAGCAAGCCAGAGACAGCCAGCTCACCGGCTCTCAACGCTGGGCAGAAGAAACACAAACAAACCGCCGCCCTCCGAGGCAGGCGAGGGACGGAAGATTGAAACGATAGAGATAGACCGGTCGGAGGGGGTGGCGTGAGGGTCAAGGAGAAAGTTGCCCGGCCGCCCGCGCGGCGAGCCCGGCGGCGCCCGCGGGGCGGGGGAGGCTCCCCAAGCCGCCGTCACACCTTGGAGCACGCACGAGCCCAGCGCGGCCCGGGGAGGCTGGAGTTTCCGCGCGCGGAGGGCGCAGTCGGGGAGACGCCGGCCCGGGAGGACGGGAGGGTTGGGCTCGCTACCTCTGCACACGGGCGAGCCGGGGCTCCGTCTCTCAGGTGAGCTGCTCCTCCGGTGGCTCTCCGGGGACCGTCTCGGGCGGCCCTTGGCTCGCGGCGCCGGCTCGGTCGGGGCTGCGGCCGG